AATAAAACTATACATTATATGCACTTTAGACTCTTAGGTATCCTCTAGATACACTTCCAGTAACTTGCCATTACAGTAAGGTTGAAACAAGGATAAAAAATAAAACCATTGATGGTAAAAATGCCCAGTGATTAGAAGAAAATAAGGAAGTTAGGAACAATAAATACACAGATATTTGTACAACAGTGCACATAGTAGGGGTAGTTATCACTGAGAATTTAAATTTATATCATAATAAGGTTAGCATTATTCCAAGATTCTGAGATTTGGAAGACTTTGTTTCATGTTAGAAAGTACAACATTCCTTATTCAAAAGAAATAAATCTAATACTAGTGAAGGAAAAAAAACCATAATTATCTAATATCAGAAGAGACACCTGTGGACCTGAAACTTGAAGCTTTGTGCAAGCTATTTGGATAAGAATTTTAAAAAGTAAAACAAAACTGATATTGTTAGAGGGGACTGTGGTGGGCCATCCACTTAACACTTTCCTTTGGCTTCTGATACACTTCCTTCCTTCTGTCTGATGTTACATCTTCCCTGACATATTATCTCTCTCTCTCATTCCTTAGTATTGGTGTTACACCAGACTGCTAGGCTCCGCTCTCATCCACATCTAAGAATTTCCTCATCACTTGTGTTTATTTCCATGTCTCTTATTTTCAGCTTTTATAAACAGATGATTCCTAAAGCTGTAACTTCCACACTGATAGCTTGTCAAAGCTCACTAGGTCAGACTCAGCACAAACAGCATGCTCAAACTGGAACTAGATATCATTCCCATGAAATGTGACCCTTTGCTTCCTAAGACCTCATCTTAGTTAATAGTACTGCTATCAGCTACAAAGCCTTTCTTCTTGATTCTTCTATCTTCTTCATAATTTCTTTCAATTCCAGTTCTGAAATATCTTTACCAACTAATTGTTTTCTCTAGTACAGTGACTTAGTTTTTGCTTTTATCATCCCTGTCTCCTTGTGATAGTCTTCTGACTGATTTCTTCATTTCCAGTCTCCACTTGCCATCACAACTTTCTGCCTTTTCAATCTATCTCCCCACCGCCACCACCAGTCCTACCCTTGAGACGATATATTTTATAAAAAGCCTTAAGTAAAGTTAGGATGATTACGTCTTGGAGTTAGCATATAAAGCATTTGCACAATGGGTAAGAATTTGGCTTGATAATCTCTAAGGTTGAATTGCAAACCAAGCACTAAAGACTAATAGAGCATCACTGAAGTTGCTTATTCAAAATAAGTTTCGTTTGCCCCACCACAATGTACTGACTCAAAATCTTCTGAGTTTAGACTCGTGAGTTATAGTTTTGTATGCTTCCCAAGTGATTGTGATACACATCCATTTTTTGGAAACCCTAAGATCTTATTCAATCCTAAGATTCAGTGATTATAACCCTTTAATCAGAGTCCAATTTGCTATTCTTAGAGAATAGTTACAACAGTATTTTTTTGCAATGGTGGCATCAAACTAAATGTAAGACTTTCTAAATGGTTTACATTAAATAACAGAAACATTCATTTAAATATATAAATTCTGATAGATTTGTGAAAATAATTACATCACATTAGAGGCAAGCCTCATGTACATTTTTAACACATATATCTAGAGTTTTCTTTAGTTTCACACAGATGTTAATTAGCTGAACATGAAGAGTTCAAAAATATATCTGATAAAAATAGTAGTAAATGTTATTCTATGCAAAGTATTTATAAATTAAACTGCTAATTACATTAAGATGAAAACAATTAAGATTTAGCAGAACAGTAGGAAAAAATAGGGTAAAACTGAAGTGTTTTATTACTTTTTCCAGCTCATTCTTTTTTTACCTAAAAGATTCCTGCCCTATATACAAACATAACATTTCTTATATAAGTAAATTGCTATAGACATTAGTAGCTTATGACCTAGCAGTAGAAACAGACCTCTATATGTTTAATAAATTTTATTGTTAAATCATTGCTATAAATGAACTATTATGAAATAATAAAGATAGGAATGGGATAGGCACAGTGGTTCATGCCTGTAATCCCAGCACTTTGAGAGGCCAAAGCAGGTGGATCACTCGAGGCAAGGAGTTCGACCAGCCTGGCCAACATGGTGAAACCCCGTCTCTACTAAAAATACAAAAACATTAGCTGGGCGTACCTATGATCCCAGCTAGTCAGGCGGCTGAGGCACAAGAATCACCTGAACTCAGGAGGCAGAGGTTGCAATGAGCCGAGATCACACCACTGCACTCTAGCCTGGGCAACAAAGCAAGGCTATGTCTCAAAAAATATATATTTATATATATATGTATATACACATATATATGTATATATATGATTAATACTTTCTTTTGTAAAATAGCCTCTCCAAGGAGCAAACTTGTAAATATAAGCCTAAACTCTATGGCATACTAAAGTATCAGAGGTTGAATTCCAACTGTATAGGAAGCACATGGGAATGTAGATGACTATAAATATGGATATAGGTATATTAATTAGCAATGAGATATGTATTTTTATATTTAATGAGGTCATATAACACAACTGTTTCGTATTTAGTTGTATTTAGTCTGAGTTATCCACAATTTTTTAAAATTTAAAGCCCTTTGTTTCGATATTAAATGCACAATTATTTAGAGTAAGAATACATTTTCCCATAGAAACATTTTGCAAAGTGTGCTGAGAATCCCAGGCTAGCTCATAACTCCTATTAAACCCATTATGACTTTAATTGTAGTACTAACAGTACTTTCCGAAATGTGAGATCTTAAAGCAAAGCAGCAGCAGGGCAGAAATAAGGGGAAGAATTCCCTTCCCTTCCATTTCCCCTTCCCCTTCCCCTCCCTTTCCCCTTCCCTTCTCCTTCCTTCCCCCTTCCCCTCCATTCCCTTTCCCCTTCCCCTTCCACTTCTCTTTCCCTTCCTTCTTCCTTTCCCTTCCCTTTTCACAACGAAGCTACCCTTAGGAATATTTTGAAAGAACTACATGCTTCCTTGCTGTCATTACCTGTTGTTGCCTCCCCTGCCTCCCAGTAAACATTGATATTCAAAGCCACTGACTGCAACACCCTTTATCATGGGCTAGGACAAGTTAATAGGAAACTTTACTCCTTATCAATAAGGATTTGGTTTCCCTGCATAGATCAAGAAAATAAATAAATAAAGGAAGCTTAAACAAAGAAGATGTGGATATACATAGTCCACAGGTAGTGGGGGGTCCATGGTTCTCAGGGAGTGGAGCCCCATCTATTTATCTCTTCCAAATCCAGAACACATGTTCTGTCCTTCAAGTTACCTTAAAGTCCAAAACAACTGCTGGAGCTCTAGCCATCAGGTTTATATGCCAGACAGCAGAAGAAGAAAGTAAATAAGGGAAAAATGTTACTTTCTACCATGAGTCACTTTCCTTTTAGGAATCCTCTGTTTACATGTTATTGGCTAAAACCTACTACTCATATGCCACATCTCACAGCAATGATTGACGCAAAATGTAGTATTGTAACTGATGCCTTTACCATCGCAAATGAAATTAGAGGTCTGTTGCTGAGAATGAAGGGGAGAATAGATATTGACATGAAATTAGTCATTTCTGCTATATTCCTCAAATGTCCAATGCTCCAGATTACTTGCCTCCTTTCCTACTTACTCAGTGAAGCTATCTCAATTCTATTTTCTTTAAAAGTCTAAGTGACAAGAATGATCCTCCTAGAACAATGGTTCTCAACTTTGGTTGCACATTAGAGGCACTTACAGTATTGTTAAAAAATTCTGATGCCCAGGTAACACTCAGACAAATTAAGTCAGAAGCTCAACCAATGGGACACCCAGGTCTCAGGATTTTATATATATGTGTGTGTGTGTATGTGTGTATGTGTGTATGTCTGTGTGTGTGTGTGTATATTCTTGGTGATTCTAGTGTGTAGCCAACTTTGAGAACCACTGTCCTAAAAAATTGTAAAGGACAGATAATCCAAATGATGCTGTATTCTATCGCTGTTTTTCTGCTATATAATCAAGAAATAATTTAAAAACTGCATGTCATAAGTAAGGAATGATTTTGAGAGTGGTGCACTTCTCTTGCGTGCCAATTGTTTGCCTTTGGGGTCAGTTTTCTTATAAAAATGAATATCCTCCTTTTTTTTTTTTTTTAACAGAATCCTGTAAAACTTCTAAACCACACGATTCTCTGAAATGTCTTTTACTAGTGTTGGTCATATTTCAGACCTTTTTCACTTTTCACACACTCCCACATCCATTCAAACACTTTATATGGCTCTAAAATAAGTCTTAAATGTGTCCACACCTTTATCTCATCCAAAACCCACATAGCAATCAAAGAAATGTTTAAGACACACACACACACACACACACACACACACACACCCCTGATCCTGTCATTGCTCTACATAGATCCTCAGAATAACTTCCTACTGATCTAGGACTGTCTAAACTCCAAGATCCCCTTCCTGCCTACCTCCCAGCCTCATCTTAGGCCACTTGTTGCACTATCACACAGTGGCTTCCTTTCATGCCTCTCTTCCTTACAGTTAACATAGTCTAACTGTAAGTTTGCCAAGCCCATGAAATTCCCAGCTCCATCAAACCAATACATTTATTTGCTAATTCCTATTGTAGGAGGTCTTTGCTGCTTCCAGAGACTGCTTAGAACCCATATTATAACTCTTCATAAACCTTATCACAGTTACAATTGTTTAAAAGGCCATTGATTTTTTTTATGAGGGCAGGAAACATGTTCTTCATTATTTCTTCTCAGAACCTAGAATAGTTCCTATCGCAGACCAGTATGTGTTCAGTATTATCATCATTAAAATTTTCTGAATAAATACATAAAACAATGAGTAGCATGAGATTCTGAAATTAGAAAAGTAGATGGGGAACAAACTGAAATGATCATAAACAGTTGCTTGTAACTTAGGGATATGTGACCCAAGTCAACATCTCTTCCTCCTTTACAATATGTGTTTGTGTCTCTGCAGGTTGTGATTTGATTCCAGTACAGTATCTTCGATGGGGTGACCCTGAACCCATTGCAGCTGTGGTGTTTGCCTGCCTTGGCCTCCTAGCCACCCTGTTTGTTACTGTAGTCTTCATCATTTACCGGGATACACCAGTAGTCAAGTCCTCGAGCAGGGAACTCTGCTACATTATCCTTGCTGGCATCTGCCTGGGCTACTTATGTACCTTCTGCCTCATTGCAAAGCCCAAACAGATTTACTGCTACCTTCAGAGAATTGGCATTGGTCTGTCCCCAGCCATGAGCTACTCAGCCCTTGTAACGAAGACCAACCGTATTGCAAGGATCCTGGCTGGCAGCAAGAAGAAGATCTGTACCAAAAAGCCCAGATTCATGAGTGCCTGTGCCCAGCTAGTGATTGCTTTCATTCTCATATGCATCCAGTTGGGCATCATTGTTGCCCTCTTTATAATGGAGCCTCCTGACATAATGCATGACTACCCAAGCATTCGAGAAGTCTACCTGATCTGTAACACCACCAACTTAGGAGTTGTCACTCCACTTGGATACAATGGATTGTTGATTTTGAGCTGCACCTTCTATGCATTCAAGACCAGAAATGTTCCAGCTAACTTCAACGAGGCCAAGTATATCGCCTTCACAATGTACACAACCTGCATTATATGGCTAGCTTTTGTACCAATCTACTTTGGCAGCAACTACAAAATCATCACCATGTGTTTCTCGGTCAGCCTCAGTGCCACAGTGGCCCTAGGCTGCATGTTTGTGCCGAAGGTGTACATCATCCTGGCCAAACCAGAGAGAAATGTGCGCAGCGCCTTCACCACATCTACTGTGGTGCGCATGCATGTAGGGGATGGCAAGTCATCCTCCGCAGCCAGCAGATCCAGCAGCCTAGTCAACCTGTGGAAGAGAAGGGGCTCCTCTGGGGAAACCTTAAGGTAAAAGTTGTGGGGGCTTAGAGGGGCGCTGGCCCCTACAGCTGAAGCAGAGGCATGTGTTTCCTGGGTCTTTTAAATGGGAGAAATCTGAGTAAATGAAACCATGGGAGGCAGGGTGCCTTAGGGCATGGACCTTCTCATAAAATGGTATTTATGGGGTTAATGGGATGTGGGTCAAGTTACTTAGGCCAAGTCTAGAAACAGGGAGTCAAAATCTCTAATAAAGCAGAGTTACAGCATATGGGGAGTAAGGTTGAGAGGTGAGACAGAGCAGAGTTAGGTCACAAAGCCAAGGCAAGGGCCCTTGAGTTCTGAGGGGACAGAGTTACATTGTGGGTTAAATTCTAGCTCACCAGAACAGAGTCAAAATATATTACTAACAAAGATTATACTGAGAGCAGAATGCCAAGAACTCTACACATCGGACTGCACTTGCATGAGCCTAAACCTATTCAAGCCAGAAGAGTGCTTAAATGCCCATCCAATAGAGGCACAAGAATGTAAGATTTATATTTTAGTTCTTAATGGGCAAGATGAAATCTTTGGGAGATGTCTAAGCAGCTGAAAAGGACAAAACAACTAAATGACTTTGCATATTAAAACAACTAGTTTCCCAGTTCTTTTTTGTGTGTAGTCTCATCTCACTCCAAGTTCAATATCACAGGTAGTAGTTATTCGACCATTTCAATCTGAAAAGAATCTAGAGCCAAAAGCCAATGATTTCCCCCCATGTTAGGAACTTCCTTATGTGATAAATGATCCCAAAGCACTTCAAAAGACAAGGTCATGTTATCAGTGGCTTGGGAAAAATGTTGAAGTACCAAAAAGGTAACACCGATTGTTGATAATTGGGACTAAAGATCACCTCTATTTAAGAAGTACACATCAAAAGAGCTGGTCAAGACATCAGTCCTGCTAACTCTTCTGAAATTTAACAGTATTTCTAAAACCTAGATAAATAAATGGAAGATACGTAGCTTTCAAATGGAAGCTACATATCTAAATAACATTGCTTGAACTATTCTCCTATACCATCACTTAGCCTGCATAAAGTCCTACTTTTCTGTCAGCCCTAAATCTTCAAAGCATGACTTACTATGATGGTAAAGATACTGTCTGCTGAGGTTTGAAAATAACTCAGAGGAGAGTTGAATTTTATCCACGAGGTCCAATTCGTTTACATTATTAACTTGTACCCTTACCTCTTTCAACTCTTTTCTACTTGCTTTACACTTCTCATCTCTTTCTACGTACATTGTACAAGACATTCAATTAAACTGTAGTTCGTGTCTTCTTCTTCAATAAATCCTGGCTATGTCACAGTCTGTACACAGCAGGCCTTTCATATATCTAACCTGCTGGCCTATTTTCCAGCTGCCTTCCTGACTCCTCTACAAACCATTCTTTTTCTGAAATTTCTGCAAGATCAGCCTTTCCATTTGGCTAAGAAAATTTATTTTTCAAACTTTTGTTTTATCAGCTTTTCTTCAAGTCCAATCTGTAAACAGAATCTCCCAGGAAAGACGAGTATATAAAACAAGCATATTGATGGAGGGAGAGAATTGTGAGTCTATGTCTGAGCACCTAAAAAACTCACTAGAGAAAGCTCCTTAGGGAGACAGCATGGGAGTGGTGGCAGAGAACACTGGCCTCGCCAGATTGTTTTGGGTTTGAACACCACCACTGCTACTTCCTCTCTCTGTACGTTATTTTTACCATCTGACAAACTGGATTGTAAAAAGTGAAGGAGATGATATGTATAAAGGCTGGCACATAGTAGGCACTTTAATGAAGGTAGCACAATATAGTGCTAGAGAGCACTAGGATTAAATACCGGCAGCATGACTTACCAAGTGCAGAACCTTAGGCCAATTCACTTAACCTCTCTATGTCTTGATTTCTTCCTCTGAAAAATGGAGATAAAGAAATGCATACTTCATGGACTGGTTGTGAGAACTGAATCAGTTAACATGTGTATAGTGTCTGCCACACAGTAAGCACTTCTTTAGTATTTGATTAACTTAAGTATTTGATTAACTAAGTTAACCACTGTCAGTCTTCTTTGACTCATGAAAGTTACTGTACCAAATACACAATCTAGATGATCTTAATAACAAAGAGAGCATTATAAACGGCAGCACGAACCTATGGAGACATTGATTATACAGTCTGAGTTTTCCAGGGCATCTTGATCTTTATGTTGTCCAGCTCCTTGCCATTCTGTATAGCACATCCTATATTCCAATTTAAGCAGAGCAAGCTCCTTAGGGGTGGAGGTCTTCTTTATCTTGCTCATCACTGTGCCTCCAATACCTACCTCTACCTTGAAGGGTGCTTGGCACATAGAAGTGCTCAATAATGATTTTTGATATGTTTGTTGAATGAATTTGGGATGGTAGCAATGTGGTAGGTACTTTTTTGCTTGTCTTCAAATGTGCACACTCTTACTGCCTAGTTGTCCTATTAACTTTTATAAGATTAAGACAACAGTGCCCTACATTACAGATATCTCTCTCACTCCTGTGGTCATCAATCTCTGCTCTAGAATTGGATCACTGATCCCATGCTTTGCTATAGTTATAATGTTTCTCTAGTAATGTTCAATAAATATTTTAAACTATTTTGTTTCTAATTTAATAAACAAAGGGACAAACAAAAGCAACAAATTTTACTGATAGTGCCAACCACTAGAAAACGGAAATTCTAAAGATTTTTGTTGCAATGTTTTAACTTGTTTTTCCTACAGGGCCATGTAGTTTTTTACAGTTTTGCAATTTGTGCATTTAGATGTTAGAATCTGAAAGACGGTAAGAAGAGACCTTTGGCAAGTGTTTGGTCTTCTTTCTGCAATCTTGGCAAATCTTGGTCTGTCTATGTGATTATGGCTGAGACAGGCTATAGTCTGATTATATGGAGACTCCTTTTATTGCCATCAACCCGAATATTCAAGCTAGAACCTACTTTTGATATGGATAAGAAAAAGGCGCAGGGAAAGCTGTAATTCTTTGTATCACATGCATCTGATATCTGCTCTCCTTTTTAACCCACAGTCATTAGAAAGAGATGCAAACTAAAATTTTTTTCCTCTATAGCTTCGGTGAGCTCCAAAACTAAATAATTCTTCTCTGTGATACAAAATCAAGATGTTCAGCACATTTATTACATCGTAGGATATAGATATAGCCTTTTATGCAGGGATTCAGCTCCCATTTGATAATTAGTTTATAAAAGCCAGTGTATAACACATGGTTTGCCACACTTCAACTTAACTAATGGGAAACAAATAAATTCAGGTGTTTCTAATATTTTTACATGTTCTTCCAAATCACTTCCATGAGTTGTGCTTCTCAGGCGTGAAAATTTTAATATGCCATTGAGCCCACCTCTTGGGATGTCAGGTGGGCTTAAATAGGTAAATTAAATCTCTGGATGTAGGTCTTTGGTGGAGAAGCATCTACCATACTGGGCCCAGCCCTGTTCTGCTGTCCTCTGTCTGGTGTATGAAGAAACAGGCTACTATAATCTGAGACTGGGTATGCCCTCTATTTCTGGATGGGGTCTGTGTGTGTCCCTTCCACATGGAATGGCAGATGATAAAGGCTCTCTATCTTAAAAAGGATACTAATTGTGTACCTCAAAGTGAAGAATATCATAATATCTATGGTTATGGTAACTATGTCTCTGAAAGTTAGGACAGGCTCCTGGAAAGGTGTATGTACAGAGATGGAAAATGCAAAGACAGCATACTAGTTTAGAATTCTGGCTTTGGAACCACACCTGGATTTCAATTCAGCTATGAATTTGAATAAGGTACTTTTGTCTGTTTTCTCAACTGTAAAATGGTAGATAATAATTCCTATTTTGAGTAGTAAATGAGGTAATATGCATTAAGTGTATAGTACCAGCATGTAGAAAGTATTCAATAAATGCTACCTCGACCTTTTAGAATTGTGTCTGCAAGTAGTAGAAAGCCTATTTTCAAACACTTAGACTCTTTGGGGTTCATTTTACTCGTGTTATAAAAATTGTGGAGGGGGATTGCTTCAGGTTTTGGTTCAGTGATGCAAAGGCAAACACGTCTGCCATTCTCTAGGCCTTTTACTAATGATTGTAATATAGTTGTCATGGTTCCACACATTGTGTACTTTCATTAGGGAAAACAAAAGTCTTCTCAGAGTCCCATAAGAATTGCCCTTGTGTCACACTGACCCAAACTATCTAATATAACAGAATATGGAAGTGGAAAGAGAAAAGGGGGTGTCAGGTGTTCGTTAGACAATCCAGTGCACAGTGCCTAAAATGTTAGCACCTAGTAGTAGTCACGGTGGTAGTTGTCATAGAAGGAAGAGCAGTGGAACAGAGAAGAGGGAAAAGAAGAGGAAAGAAGATGAAGTAGAGCATGAAGTAGGAGATTGGAAAAAAGTTTCAAATCAGAGTAGTCCCTCAAAATGGTTCCTTTATTACCTACCTATTATGTTCTGCCACCTTACAGAACTTTTCATATGTATAACTAGTCTAACATTTCTAATTGTCACAAAATACTGCAAGTTGAAGCAACAATCCTCCCATTTTTCAGATGAGGAATTTGAGGTCCTGCACGGTGAGAAGACTTGCCTACTGTCTCATGACTAAGAGTAATGTAGCAGTTTTTAAATTAAGGTCTTAGCTGATGATTACTAGAGCTGAGCATATATGGACTGTTTTCTTTGGAAAATTAGTGTATTCTTTGAAAAATTAAATAGCTCCATGAAAAAGAAATTATTTGGTCAAAAAGGTGCCAAAATTCTATTCTCTTATTGGAGATAAACACTGAGAAATCTTGCACTGTAGAAACCTATCATCCATTTGTTGACTTTTTCTAATCATTTTGCAAATGTATACACAAGACCATTTTTTTTCCAAGTAAACCTCCTAACATTCTGAAGAACTGATGCTCCAAAGAACTTACTTTGGAGAACATCATCATAGACCCAAAAGAAGACATGTTTATGGGGCCTGAA